AACATCCCAATATGGTCTTTTTATAAGGAAAGTCCGCTCACATTCAGGATTTAAACTTCCGAAAGTACTTTAAATATGAAAATATTAAATATGGTTCAAGAACTGGTCAGTGTTTTTAATTCAGAGTAATTTTCATGTGAATGTGCTTTACTGGAGGCATCCATGTTTGTCAAAGAACACTACTGTCACCTACTGGTTTGTGACGTCACGGTGCGGTATCGGCTGTTGATCAAGTCCCAGTGCTGTATCTGGTGTTTTGTCACAACGCGCTATTATCCAAGTCATCTTGAAAACATTCTTCTTCCAAATGTTGGCTACATATTACGGGTTTTTTCTCTGGCCAGAAGTTCGATGGCAAATCTTCCCTCTTCAAGTTGGCGATCCAACGACCAACCCGTCCGTGGAGGATCAGGAATCAGAAAGGTGGAATAACTCTTTTTTTTTCACTTTTACCCGATGTATTCCAGCATCCAGCTGCCATGCACGTGGGCATTGTCAGTTTCACTATAGCTCTGGTGAATTTCAATGGTGAAGTCCTCTGGAAATCTTCAATAATTGTTGTTGATTGCAGATGTGTCTAGTAGTTCCCATTGATTTAGCTTGTAAAGCGGGGAGAATGGCTCTAGGCTTACCGCACCGTGACATGTGTGAAATTCATTAAAACACTGCAAATGTATTAGTTTTAGGTATAAATAAAGACCGGACTTTTCCTTTAAAGCTACAGAGCTAATTATAACCACTGATTTCCAAATGACTTAAAGGGGATAGTTACAAGTTTAACTCCTTCCAGCCTGTAGGTGGCGCACTCGCCTGCGCTCCTTTTCTACGGTTTGACAGCTGGAAATCCAGGTCCATGAATGCTGATGCTAATGTTAACGAAACACAATATTGAACCTACCAGTTCAGAGGAGAAACAGCAACCTTTGTGCTCCATCTGAGCCCCTAAAGCCGGGCGTACACTTTACGATTTTTTGCGCTTTTCGGGATGATTTTCCAGTCGTGTGAGAATTCTTCAGCCTGATGGTGCATGTTGTAATAACCAGGAGGTAACGAGGGGCGATCAGCATCTAACGACCACCTCCCCATCAGGAATCATAGGTCGGGAGAAAATCAATCATGTTTGAAACTCAGTCGGCCGTCGTAAGGTGGTCAAATCGCTCAGTGGGCAATTCTTCTTCTTCTTCTTCCTCTCAGAGGAAAACCCAGCAGCATGGCGGGGGGCAATAAGTGAAATGGAGTTCTTTCTGTCAAACTGACAGACCGTAGTAGCCATGTTTGCTCAGCCATGTCTTTGTCCAAATACGCCGTCTCCTTTTCTCTTTAGGGCTTTCAGCACAAAATTGCCCAAATATCCAAGGCAGCGCATTTCACTCTAGTGAGCTTCATATTCCTCTTCTACTGGTTTGGCTTCCAGATAGACGAGTCAGAGTAGCGCCACCTCACTGCGGAGCTGAGTCCCACCTGGTTTTTAGACGTACAGTGTGAGCAGGTAGATCGCATCAGAGCGTCGGGTCATACAGCGGGAGAACAAACATCGTGCGCTGCGAACTTATAAACTCTGCGGTCTCATCGTACAGTTTGAGCTGTAGCTGCGTGCAACCATTGAAAATATGGCACAGTGTACGCCCGGCTTTAGCAATACAATACAAGTTTGACTGAAGTTCACGCAGACTTTGCCTACTTTTCATTTTTTTTAAGTTTTTGCCTTAAATCTGAACAAAAGTAAAGCAAAGAAGAATCCATTTCTCAGAGAGCTACCAAGATCATTGAACACCTGAACTCTTTATCCTGTGGCGTCATCCAAATATTGCCATTGGTGCTGATTCCCTTCTTATCAATGGTAGCATAGTAACCAGAAATAAAGATATATATGTTTTGGTCCCGTCAAACACAAAAAAAAATGAAAAATAAAAAATCTGCACCAATCTAAATGTTTTATGGATGTATTTTTTTTCCATTATTATTATTTTGATGAACAAAACTGTTGCCATAACCTTTAGCGTTAGCATTTCATTCATTATTTATTTCTATGCTTTTTATATTTATTTATTTATTGTTATTTGCTGTTTATTATTTCGATAAACCTTCTGTATGGAGTAAGATAACTGTCAAAAAAAAATCACATGCATAATTGTCTTAATTTGTAACTGTAAGTCGATAATGTCAGTTAATGTAGGATTTGTATTTGTTCCCTGTTGTCAAGACAGATACTTGAGATCAGATTTTCATCTGTAAAATACCTGCTTAAAGTTACAACTTTGCAAAAATGGAATAACGAATTATAAATGTACAGGTGGGATTCTCCAACTCCTAATGAAGCTGTTACACTTCTTAAGTTGGTGGTAGTGCATCTGAAGAGGAGGAAGACGATGACAGAAAGGACCATAAATCTAACATTACACTGAGCATGAGTATTCAAAACAAAGTTTCAGCAAAGATATGTTATTGTGGATGTGTTCCATTTTAGCAGCTGCTGCCTCCAAAGCCCCGTTCTACCCGGACTGCGTCCTTGGAGGTCTGTGAAAATAAGGATGCCGGAAAACTTTTGGCAATTTATTCAAACAGTTTCATCCTTCTCAGGCTTTTATCACCGGTATGCTCTGTCACCTAGCAACCATGACAATTGACAGACAAAGCAGGCAAAGAATGGATACTGAACTTCTCACTGGAGTTCTGGGTGCTAATAACATTGCCGAGGAGCTTCAACAGCAGTACGGGCATCTTAGATATCAGATTTATAGTCCCCCGACCTGCAGAGATATTAGAATCTGAGCTTAAATGTCAGCCAAGCCTATTTACACAGGGACAGATAAAACCTTTAGATAAACCAAACATTACCGCCACATATCTGACTCAATAACCATTAAAACAACTATTTTCCTTCATTTCAGACGGAACTATTCACAGACTTGGATTATATTAAACTGAACTTCCAATTTTCACCACTGTTTGGCGCCTTTTTCCTCTGAGCACGGAGCAGCCGGCTTGCTTTGCACTCACAATGAATCCTGGTCAGGAGAGTAACAGCTTTATCAGAGCTCTGTACTCGTAAATGTGACTTGTAATAGCAGTTTGTGTTTTGGACTCGTAAATTTGTGATTTTTTCTTTGTCTTGTAAATTTGTGATTCATACTATTTTTGTATCTTTGTAAAATTGTACCTATGTAACATGTATTTTTGTATTGTATTATTACTGATGAAAACCTGATGTCATTTATGTATTAGTTGACAATGAGGAACAAATACAAATCCTAAATTTATTCAGTTGTACTGACTTTCTTTTAAAAATGCAGACACCTGTGCTTACCTTTTATTGACCGTTATCTTACCCCATACTTCTGTAAGTCACACTGAGTTTGACCAGTCTGTCTGTCCTCAGTATCACTATGCAGTGGACTGGTGAGGATACTGTCCCTGTTTACCGGAGTCAACGTTTCCCCCAGCTTGCCCAGGAGGACCAGGCAGACCATCCTTTCCTGGTGCTCCTACTTCACCGGGGTAACCTTTAGGACCAATTGGCCCTGGTGGCCCCGGGTCCCCTTTGTCCCCTTTCAGTCTTAGCAGGGTGATTGGGTCTTCTGGGCCATCCAACCTGTGAGCTGAGGACAAAATCAAACCAATGAAGACAATTTTAATGCGAAAATTAAAACAATCACATCAAACTTTGCATTTATGATCATTTTTAGTCATCAAGTAATTTGTTCTTTTACTCTCTAAAACCTCCTAAAGGGCACAGCATGAAAACTGCAACAATTTTTAGCTTTATTTGTCATCTACAGCAGCGTTGAACAAGTCTTTTCCTGGGAATTTAAGCTTGGTTTGTTCTGGACACAATGTCTGCGCAACCATTAGAGGTTTCTACGCAACGTCCAGGATTTCTGCTCCTACTGGCGAGAATTCGCAATTGTAAACTTTTAGAGATCTTGTAAATTAGCTCATAAACACACCCCTACGGACAGATGGTGGAAAAAAACAAGGGAAGAAATGACTATCGCTCTTGGATGGCATGAAGAGGCCTTGATAACGTAGTAAACAGCTGTATTTTCTACTTCCTTGTGAATTGTGGGGTTTTCCTGAACACTGCGATCAAAATGGGAGAAAAGCCGCACAGAGTATCGATGATGCAGATGTTTTTGCAGCTCGGATTGTACAGTAGTAGCCATTCAAAATTTCCCTACTTTCTTTGTGGGGTCCTTACAATTCTTTTTTAAACATCAATCTTTGTACGAAAATATTCTTTCTGTCATGATTTGTGGACATTAACCCTTTAAAGCCCGATCTAAGAATAAAACAAAACAGAAAATTACTTTTTTTTGGTTTGAAGTCCTTATTTGGCCTTTTAACAAAATATGTAAGAAGAAAAAACAGAAATACATTTTTGATATTAATAATTTATAACTATGCGATAAGTCAAAATTATTTTTAGTGTAGTTTTCTACCCTCTGTTATCAGGTAGATCTGATTGTGTACAAAAGGATTTTGAGCAAAGTTTTTAGCATTAAATTATGCAAAAGGTGTCAGACGCAAAACATTTTAGAAACTGTATGTATCAAATATGATACATTTGGCATTACAGGGTTAAGATCTAAAGAGAAGCGCCTTCTACTGGTCAGACCCTGTAATTCAGAGAGAGTCAGAGTAAACAAATATCCACACCTATGAGAAAGAGGCAGGGTCGCTCCAGTGGCTTTAAGTTGGCTTCCATTTGAATGGGAAGGGACATTTTGAATGGCTGCTACTGTACGCTCTTTAGTTTCCTGCAACTCTTAGATGCATTTCTTTTTCAACATTTGTCACTGGGAGAAGTTAAAGCACTGGGCAACACAGGTCAGACAACTATGAACCCCTATTCACACCTAAGTGCAGCAAAGAGAGACCAGCTAACTAAAAAACTGCGTTTTTACAGTTCACACATGGGGGAGTAGAGACAAAAGGGAATCTGCTCCCCTCTGCAGATCATGGGGCTCAGATACATTTGCAGAAGACATTTGCTGCTTTTAAAAAATGGTTAAAGTCTCAACTTGGAGCAGTTTGGTTCAGCAATTTGTTTAAAGAGAGGTGGAATAAATTCATAAAGTCACATAAGAGCCCAATCTTCATAACAGCGCATCATAAAATCAAATAAGCAGAACCATCTTATTCTGTTTGGAGGGAATTTAGTTCTATTATTGATGCAAGAAAAGAGCACATTTTTAAATGGAAATGTGATAAAAAGGCTATCCAGAAATTGGACTCTAATAAACTTCTCAATCAAAAAAAAATGTTTTCTTTTAAAACAGAATATATTTTCTATATTCAAATGTTTTACACATTTTTCAATCTTTTTATCAATTTATGTTTCAAAATTTTTTTTTTTTTCAAATTTGTATTTTTGAAATAGAAATTTATGATTTTCTTTCTTTACCAATTGTTTTTTCCAGATCACATTATTCTCTTCCCTTCTAGGGGCGGGCTTTCCTGCTGTGGAAGGAGCGAAGATGCATTTCTATTGGTCTGCTGGACGTTAGCAACATTTTTATTGGTCAAGAGTTGTTAACGGGCTGTAACTTAAAAACTGTAAAAAGATACGGGATCTGAAAATTAGACATTTGAAAAAACTAAATTTAATAAATGAAAGTTTGAAAAAACAGGAATGAAAGTATAATGTCTTATACAATGTTATTCAAAAAAATAAAAATGTATATATAAAAAAATAAAAGCAAACTTCAAAGTTTCTCTGGAAACTTTTTTGCATTGATTGCAAAATGCCTTCTTTGCGATTAAAACGGAAACGGAATTTACTCCATAGATCTGTAAGCATGCAGAAGGATGTTACCTGGCTCTCCCTTCTGCCCTTTCATCCCAGGCAATCCATCACGTCCACCAGATCCTCCTTCTCCCGGACGACCATCCAGCCCCTTACAGTTCACATTGCATTCGACGGCCGACAGCAACGAAGCCACGCCGAACAGAACTGCGAATCCAACATAAGCTCCCATGGCCTGAAATCGCTGCAGAAAAGAAAACCAAAGAAGGAGAAACGCTGAGCTGGAGATGATGACGATTATTAGAGACAAACAGATAATATCAAGAAGGAGCATGAAGGAGAATAAAACGTTTTAATTTCCTGTGAAAGTGAAATTTTAAAAAATCATTTCTATAAAAACTTCAAGATAAAACTGGTGAAGAACAGAAGCATAAACATCCATCATGTTTTTACCTAACCTATGATTCAGGACCAATACAGTTGATGTGAGCTGCAAAAACATAAGCTTATACACCGGAAAAAATCCAAATCTAGATAAGTCATTTTTTCTTAAAATAAGTGCATTTGTTCTTGGATTGAGGAGATAAAAGAGACATTTTACCAATGGAACAAGACCATTTAGATTTAAAATAAGAAAACACAATTGCATTATCTCATTTCAAGTGCATATCATCTAATTATCTTATTTTAAGACTAAAAACATTCATTCCATAAGCAAACTATTGCATTTACCTGCTCAAATTAAGGGTAAAAACACTTAATCTAAGACTTTTTTTTACTTCTTTTTAGATCGTTTGTGCAGTGTAATGATTAAACACTAACAAGTACAAAGTCTTTCCTAAATTATCACCCAAAAAGTAATTTTTTGCTAAAATAGAATTAGAATTCCTGTTAGAAAGAAAGCAAATAAGCAAACATACAGAAATGTTACTCTTTAAAATTGAGAAAAATGTATTTTTGATGTAAAATGAACTAATCCTGCACTGTAAAAATAGAAATCTAGATAAGTCATTTTTTTCTTAAATAAGTGCATTTGTTCTTGGATTAAGGAGGGAAAAGACATTTTGCTAATGGAACAAGACAATTTACACTTAAAATAAGAAAACAAAATTGAACCAATTGTCTTATTTCAAGTGCATATTATATAATTATCTTACTTTAAGAATAAAAATACTCATTCTATCAGCAAACTATCTCATTTACCGACTCAAATTAAGGGTAAATACACTTCATTTAAGATATTTTTACTTATTTCTAGATCGTTTTTCCAGTGAAAACAACAAAATGATGTTGGACTTAAAGAAATCATTCAGTTTTTCCTTAATAATCATTGAGAAGCAGGAGGAATTATCTTACCAGTGGAGTCCCTCCAGGTCTGGAAGTGAACAGAATAACTGAGATTAGCTTTTAATTAAGCTGAGCTTCATATGTGCTGACTTACTGAGATCTGCTGGCTTGCATAAGAAGCGCACAAAGAGAGAGAAAACCATCAGGAAGGAAATGAAACCCAAGATGGACGACAATCCAGATCCAAAGTCAGATTTATCTTAAGGGTTTCAGCTGCTGTACTCCTGAAATTCACTGTGTAATTATAATGACTTCAATTAAAAAAAAAAGTGTTCCACCTTTAAAGTCAGACAAAACTAGAATAAAAGCAATTTTATTACAATAAAAACCTTTTGTAAAATTAAAGATTAAGGCCCTTTAAAACTAAAATGGTAACAATTTATAATAAAGCTCTTCCAATAGATGGGAAATAAATATTTTAAACACTTTATAACTCATTCATAAATGTTAATTAATTCATTCAAAACTTAGTGTCAAGGCTACAAAATAAGCGATGCTAGATGGAATCTATAGTTGAACAGAAACAAGCCGTATTTATGAAATCATTTCATTTTTTATTCCTTTCTAAAGGTAGAAAAACGTGCTGTGATGGATCATCTCAGTCAAGCTTCTTTAAATGTTACAGCTGTGGCGCCCTCATGTGGTCGATTGTCAGGGTTCTGCCCTCTGTTTAGGTTTAATTTTAGTTTTTGTAATCCTGTGTCTTTGTAGGTATTTTTTATATGGAGCTAAATCTGTCTCAATTTTCTCAAATACACATTGGTGATTCAGACATGCACAGGATAAGATCCACACAAACAGAATTCACGCAAGCACAAAAAAAAAAATCCACACACAAAAAGTATAAGATCCACATACACACAGAACAAGTTTCACCAAAGTATTTCCGGTCCATAAACAATTGTAAATTAAATTGCAAAGTACCAGTGGTCTTTAAACTTCATTGCATTTGTGTGTGGATTTTTTAGACTCTCCTGACGTGTTTTGGTACAAAAATGCATTTTTTTAAGACAAGGAATGGTTTGCCACCAATCACAAAGCTCCGTGGTATAAGCCAATCACAAGAAACTACTCCACGTGGGATGACTTACCCCAGAAATACTGTCTATGTGTGGATCTTCTACTGTTTGTTTGGATTGTTTTTGTGTGCTTGTGTGAATGGTGCTGTGCATGTGTGGATATTTTCTGGTGCATGTATGAGTCACCTATGTGTATTTGTGAAAATTGAGACTGATCTAGCTCAATATTTTCAATTCAATTTATCTTTATTGTCATTGTCACAAGAACAACAAAATTTAAAAGAGTGCCATAGATCAGTGCATATGCTTAAAAACAAAAATCACTTTCACCGCCATTTACACATAATATAAGAAATAAATAACAATAACTGATACAAAACAACTAATAAATAAGAATAGTATATTCTCACACACATCATCCATCATTCTGGCAGTGTTGTGTTTTTGAGTTACTCTCTGTTGCCCCCTTGTGACTGTTTTCATTCCCCTTGGCTCCCTTCAAGTTAGTTCTATTCACACCTGCTCCATATCAGCTCATTAGCCCATTCTTTGTTCTGTTCCCCATATATACACCACCTCTGCAGTTCTTCATTGCTGGTTTGTTTTCTTGCTCTCTTATTATTTGGCTCCTCATGTTTGTTCTCCCCTGACGTCTACTGTTTTTTTGGTTCTCAGTATTTTGGATTTTTGCCCGTTTGCCTCTAGATTTTTTTTTTTCATTAAATCACCAAAACTCATCTCTGCATTTGGGTCTTCAACCAACCTCCACCAAATCTGACAGTCAAAAGTATAATAATTAGTTGTAAATTCTTGCCGGTAGTACATTAATAAAAGTAATTGGCTCGTATTTTTTCTTAAACCCCCAACATGTATTTTAAACATTTGATTATTTCAAATGTAGGCCAATAATACATAACAGCTTAGTTTCACCTTTGTTTTGTTTTTCATTTTGAGCATTTAGCCTCTCCACTTTGATTATTCAAGAATCAAAGCAAGTATTGAAATTGATATTCAGTACTGACTAATATTTGATGATTACTTCAAGAATAAAAATGCGCAGATATTCTTCATATTCAGTTTATATATATATATATATATATATATATATATATATATATATATATATATATATATATATATATATATATATATATATATAGTTTTTTTTTTTCTATGTTTGAAATATTTAACAATGAATCCCCTGTTAGGTCATTGAGTGTTTTAACTGTTCACCGTGGGAAAAGCAAAGGATTCTGCTAAGAAAAGGAGCCATAGTTTGAAGTATTGGGATCTGAAGCTTTTCAAAATACTTAAAACTGCTGTGTGACTCGCTGAGCTTCAGACATGCAGAAGACAGACGATCATCAACAAGGATTACAACTTTATCAAGCGAAGCAGCTTAAAAAGTAGTGACTTTGAAAAATCTTTAATTTAAAATTTAATTTCACTTTACCTTTTAAAATGACTAATTGCTTGAAATGTGACACATTTAGTTGTAAATCTCTGATTTAGGAAAAAAAAAATCATGTCTGAACTAGATTTGTTTTAAATAATAAATAAAAATATATTTGAACTTTAGATGTGGCATTTTATAGTGTAAAGTGATAAGTGTTTTATTTTCCTTGTTGAATATTATCAACCCCATTTTTTTTTTTTGTTAAATCTAAAGAGAAAAAGGAAAGATAAGGAAATGTTACTTGTGTTTCTCCACGTTAATTCAGTTTTTAAGTGCGGACAGATGAGTAAAAGAACTTGACATACTATTTATTCAAAACATTAATAGTGGATGGAAAAGCAATGAAACTTATGGGGATAAAAATCATTTCAACTAATCTGTAACTCTGTAACTATTAAATGAAAGACATTAATAATATTATTAAACCCTTTGATGACAAGAATCAAAATAAAACAAAAACTGTTGTGGCCGGCGGTGCAGTGAGCAGCAGTTGGAGTAACTTTGTCGCCTCAGTCTGTAGCAGATCCTTCTGGGCCAAAAAGCTGAGAAGCTGTCTGGCAGATTTGCATTAATTCCTCACCATTTGTCAGTCACTTGAGCTGTACACATAGGCAACAACTGTGGAAAAACTATTATGTTTGAATAAAAATGACTAAAACCTTTCATTTTACTCACCATTGCCCAATTTGCACAAACACTTTCACTGTCTGCTTCAGCTTATTTCACTAAAATGGCAGAAAAACTGTGAACCTTAAATTATTGTTCTCTTTTTACACACAAAAATATTACAAAACAATTTTATTATACACACCAAACATTAACAATTTCAATGGAACTTAAACTTGGAAGAAAAAAAAAGAAGAAAAACAATTGCAAAATATCATAGATTATATCACTAACTGTAGTTCTGCACTCTACCAGTAGATGGTGACATTTTCACATGAAGCATCATGATCTGTGGGGATCATTGAAGGAATTTGACCAAACGGTTCATGAAGCGTCATGTCCCATTGTCCCCATCACTATATGGAGGTTTTTCCTGCAGTTCATGTTCATGTTAACATAAAGATACAACAAAACCAGCATCAGCAGATCCAGATATTAATGTAGAAATATTCCGTATTATTACTTTTATGTATTTGCAGAATGAAGACTGTCTGTGATAGAAAATACTTGAAGCATTTCAGAGGAGGTATTTCAAAATAAGAAAAATAATATTAAAATATTAAAAAGAAAAATCCAGAGAGAAAATCAAGTTAACATGATAATGTCATCAGGTAACATTTTCAATGCAGTTTTTTTTCTAAACCTCCAATTCACATCACTTCATCTCAAGGCACTTTATAGTTCACCAGATCATCCAGTCAGGTTTTCTATCTAAGGAAAACCAGCTGTTTGCATCGACTCATTGAATCTTCAGCAATCCCTCACACCAAGCATGCTTGTAGCGACAGTGGAGAGGAAAACCTCCCTTTGAACAGGAAGAAACGTCCAGCAGAACCAGGCTCAGTGTGAGCGGCCATCTGCTGAGGCCCACTGGGGTTCAAGGAGACAGAAGCAGACATAGAAAAAGAAGCATAGATACAAAAGCAGCTGTAACAGGTGGCCCCATCCAGGAAACACACAGCCAGGCAGATGAGCTCCGAGCCAGCTCCCATGTCAGAGGATGAAGAGAACACATCCAGTTAGTCACAGTCAGAGAAACAGGACTACACTGGAAAACAGGTCGATCTCCAACATCTAGAAACAAAGGTGTTGATGGCAGCAGCACAGCTGATATTTCTCTCCAGGATGGAGTCACAGCCAAACAGGAACAGACCAGATGAAGCTACTCTGAGAAAAAGCAGAGAGAGCCATTAATCAACAGCTGCAGAGATTTTCTTAGCTAATAGTTTCAGCTGTTGCCCCTTCTCAACGCTAAAGTATGGAAAGAGTTTCTCATTAAAGCTGTGGCTGAATGTGTGGATGTGGGAACCGCTTTCAGGGTCAGAGAATGAGAGCTTCCCCCTGTCCCAGTCCAGCTGGATTCGGATCCTGCTCGGTTTCCCGATGTTGAGAGAACTTTGACCTGGAGGGGCCGTGGCTTTATAGCTTCCATCGAACCTGATTCCCCATGACCCAGACCTGATGCTGCCCTTCCTGTCCACAGACTCTGCTGATAGACCCAGCTCCCAGCTGGGTCTGTCCCCAACCTCAACATCCCAGCTGTAGGTCCCGGATGTAAACCCCTCAGAGCCCAGAACCAGATGACGCTGGTCGAGCCGCTCTGGGTTGTCTGGAAGCTTCTGTTTCTCTCCGTGGGTCACGCAGGTCAGATCTTCAGACAGGGTCAGTTCAGGGTGAGCCGTGTTAGGATCCAGAACCACAGCGGAGAAGCAAACAGCTTCCTTCATCTCGCTCCAGATGTTAAAGCTAAGGTTGCCCAGATGTTTTGCCACATCTATCAGGGCTCCAGGTGACGGTTCAGGACTGTCCAGCAGGTGGCACTGTTCTATTCTTTTTACAGTGTCTTTGTAGGCCTGCAGGAAGGAGACATTTTCAGCTTTTAGTTCCTTCTCTGTTTGTCTAATTGTTCTTGAAATAAGGGTGATGTTTCTGCTCAGAGCTTCAGATTCTTCCCTCGTTACTCTACTTTTCTGCTTCTCCTCCTCCCTCAGAGCAGAGATCCGGGCCTCCTCCTGCTCCTGCAGAAACTGGTGCAGTTTCTTAAACTCTTCCTTGATCTGCTTCTCCGTGTTCCTGTTTTGGACCTTGATGTGTTTGGCGTTTTGATCACAGCTCCCTTTAGCTCGCTCCAAGGTTTTTAGCGTGTGCTGTAAGGTAGTCAGGGATTCCCGGAGCTTCTCTCTGTGATCTGCTGCAGCTTCATTGATGGGCACAAACCTGTGGTTGATGTGTGCTTTTGAGTCTCGACAGACCACACAGACAGACTGCTGGTGATCCAGGCAGAACAGTTTGAGTTTCTCGGCGTGCAGACTGCAGAGATGCTTTGGTTTTTCCTCCTGTTGAATAGCTTCACATAGCTTCTTTAGCGTTAGGCTCACAGGGGGGTTAGTCAGAGGCATCTCCTTACAAAGGGGACACTCCTTTATTTGCTTTTCCCTCCACCATGAGTGAACGCATGCTTGGCAGAAGCTGTGACTGCACGACAGGACAACGGGATCCCTGAAGATGTCGTGGCAGATGGGACAGGTCAGGTCTCTTTCAGCACAGGAAGCCATTTTCTCTCTGAGCGAAGCTGCAAACAGAGCAGATGGAAAGTTAAACCAGGAAGCTTTCCTGTGGCAACACCTTTCCTCTCCTAATTCACATCCTTTCATTCAGTTGCTGAATTTCATTCAATGGTATAAATGTCTCACACTTGCAGCAAAGAAGCAAACTTACCTTTTTTTTCTTGCAGGTCGAATGTGAAGCGTTTCACTTTCAGTTTAAGCACGCTTTTAACAAAAACAAGCTGCAGGGACGGATTGGGTCAACACACCTTCCATGGGAGGCGCATTAAGCAAACATGGCAAACAGTTCAGACTTGCAGGTGGAAAGAATGTGATGTCTTAATTACAGGGAAAGAATAAAACAGGCATGGCGACAGATTACTGGCATGTTTTATAAGCTTGATGATCTTGAATAACAGTGGTGACGGTGCATATGGAACCTTGGCCTTCAGTGGGACCCCCTGTAACTTAATCTACTTCTTATCCCTTAATGTCCAAAAAAAAAAAAAAAAAAAAAAAAAAAAAATATATATATATATATATATATATATATATATATATATATAGATAAATACATACATACCGTAAATCCTCTAATATAGGAAGGGGCCTTTATTTATTTATTTATTCACTCAGGTACATCTTGCTCCAGGCCATTATTGGAAGGAGGCCAGAATTAGAGGCAGGCCTCTAATTCTATTTGATCAAAACAGACTACCAGTGGAATTTATAAAAAACCAATGAACTGATAAAATATTAGGTTCATTTATTGAAAAAGTACAGTTACCATAACGGTATACTGAACATTATTCAGACGTCTTCCAGCAGCTGCAATTTTTCTGCAATACGAAAAAAAAAAAAGACACAGAATGGAATGTTGGCCAAACTGACTTGCACAATAAAGTAAAAAAAAAAAAAAAAAAATATGTAAACTGTTCTGCTATCACAGCGAGATTTTATTTGAGGCAGGCTAAGTGGAAGTAGGCTACCTGTATCATATATTTCAAGGGTAATTCAGACGAAGGCCAACGAAATTCTGTCATTTTAACCTACCGCTAATCACATGTGTCTTTCAGATCGGAACGATTGTGTAAGGCCGCTATGATCTCTGTGTAAGGATGGGACTTCCCATGCTAATAGCTTAGATTCGTTAGCAAACACTGCCCCCCTGTGGTACTTCTATGTTACTATCACATCTTGTAGAGGACTGGTTCTAATAGGGGGTTTTCAGTGACGTCACTGGCCAGCTCCCGGTCCGCCATCTTGGGTGGCATATTATCGTATATCAAATATATCATGTCGCGAATGGAGAGGTACGCCAGCACGCTAGAGCCACCAGATCATGGAACATATCTGAGGAAATGTTCCGTGATCGACCATATGGACCCCTATGCCCTCCACGGTGCCTTGTTTAGCACTAATCCAGATGATTGGCCAAATGTAGAGCATGGCGACATAGTTCATTACCCGGTGTTCAGTGAAAACCCTCTGCACACTCTAGAGGAAATGAGAGCGTAGTACAAGGGTCTAGAGGCTCACAACCAGTTCACATCTGGTTGGGTACGAGATGTCGAAGTGATGTACATGAAGGAAATCGCCATCATACATGGACGGGTGAGTTTTAATAAGATGGTAAAAATGTAAACAATCCGACGCAGGGCTCGCTATGCTAGGTGGCTAACGGCCGGCGGCCGGCGGTGCGCGAACAAGTCCTTGGTGTCTCATGTGCAGTTTACGAATGGATGGGTTCAGGAGCTGCAGCTCATAAAGCCAGCAAACAGTGCTAACCGTTAGTGCTAACAACCACTCAGGCATTCAATGTACTTTTAACTAGCTGCTATGTGTTTCAAAGGTTTGGTTAGTAACATTAACTGCCAAACCTCCCTAAACCCTCCGGGTTTCTCACATATTTGAGCCTTTTCCCGCTGGTTGAAATCAAGTTAAGGTGAAATTAATCAAATTAAAACATGGCTGAGAGAGGGAGTCCAGTACGCGGTAGTCATAGGCAGTAGTCTGAGTAGCGGCGGCGGAGACGGTCAACATTGCGGCCACGGAAAGTAATACGTCATGACGCCCAAGCCCTATTATTAATATATTCTTACATGTTTTAAATGCTTGACAGTTAATTACCTGTGACAAAGCGAGCACTGCAGACTCTGGCGTATTCCAGCTTAACACCGTCCAAATCGGACCTGGATATCCGTGTCAGCCATAGGTGACGGCGTTGTTCAGATAGCTGTTTTGTTTTTTCACATTGATTCACGATTACGGCTGGTATGCGATAGAAAGAGCGTTGATCTCCACCTTCACGGGCTGTGCAACCAACAATTACACACGATTTCACCATTTTTCACTGTTAATACTGCCTGAGGCTGCCACCCAATATGGCGGACGCGCTGAGTAGTCACGTGAGCGTGACGTCACCTGAAACCCCCTATTATAGCCCCCGCCTGTGTTAGAGTCCGGCCACTATTTATCTCCGCCAACAGGCAGACAGGCCATTATTAGAGTTCCGGCCGCTAATAGAATACATGCCAATATTAGAGGATTTACGGTACATACATGCATATAAATGGACGTCAATTTGCAACAATGGTTGTGAAGGGGTTAATGTCACTACTTTCCCATTTTAATAACAGAAACCACCAATAATATTTAAATATGAAATGTTACAAGAGCAGGTATAACCGGCGGATGTTGCTTCGGTTATATTTTCATTCAGTGGATAGATCGGTTAATCCACCATGTGTATTTATATTGTGTTGAGACGCACGCGTTTGACTGTGCTTCTTTTATCGGGGGTGGGGGATCCACAAGTGTAGATAGAAAAATGCCCAGGCTAAAATAGTTCCCAGTCTGAGCCTGCCGGAGAGGTTTAGGCTTTTCAATTGCACCCCCAGCTATGTTTGTGCAGCAAAATGTTTGGTTTGTGCTGCTTTTGTTTTAAAGCTGTTTTATCAATTAGGGTAAAAGCAGCACAGGGGGTGCACGGGGATGTCACGTCCGTTGGTTACCTCTGGAAAGGTTCATTCAAATGAAAAGGGCCGAAACAAAAAAAAAAAAAAATAAATAAAAAATCCAGCACAAAAACAACACCAAATGTGAGATTGTTTCAGCTTTTTGATGATATCTTTTCATAATCTCTCTTTTATTTATTCATTTTTATTTACTTTTATTTGATTTCTCCCAAACATACAAACTTTATAGAAGACTGGTCAAAAACAATATCAACACTACATCTCACATGTCTTTACACTGGAAAAATGATCTAGAAATAAGTAAAGATTTCCTAAATTTACTCCTTTTATCTTTTATTTTAGTAGGTAAATGAGATAGTTTGCCAATGGAAGGAGTATTTTCACTCTTAAAATAAGATAATTAGAAATAAGAAATACATTGTTTTCTCCTATTTTAAATGTAAATTATCTTGTTCCATTGGCAAGATGTCTCTTTTACCTCCTCAATCCAAGATCAAAAGCTCTTATTTTAAGAAAAAATGACATATCTAGATTTCGATTTTTTTCAGTGTACAATAGTCCATTCTTTTTTTATTTTATTTTTTTACTTTTTAATCACAAACTCTGAGGCCTCAGTATTTTAGATGTTGTTCTGGGTAAAGTTGGATGAGTCACTGATTTATTTCTGGTAGGTCAGCCGCTCCTCGCCGGGTGTGGCTGACCTTTTGTAGATCAGGGTGATTTTCTGAAATGCCAAACGACTTAGAAACTGCTTTCCGTTGGAACATTAGATGTCTTTTCCTTTTCATTGACTTCATGCTGTTTCGTTTCTGCAATCCTTGTAGCCTACTTCATGCTGTCAGTTATGTTCCGTATGGCTGGAAGAATAAAATCTATCATCCAGCAAATGTTAACTTATGAAAGATTATTTTTTATAGCGTTTATTAGAATAAAATCTTCATTTAAAACCTCTTTTTTTACTCAGTTGTTTCATTTTCAATGAAAAATGTTGGTTTTACAAAAAAAAAACAGTATCTGTGTGTGTGTGTGTGTGTGTGTGTGTGTGTGTGTGTGTGTGTGTGTGTGTGTGTGGTAAATTAACTACATGGAACCTTTCTGATTAATTTTTATTTATATTTTCCCCTTAGGACCAAGACCAGCTTTAAACTACACAGGCTGACTTATTCCATACCAAAAAGGTCAAAATGGTAAGTCTTTTTTTAATGTAAATTTTGTTGCATTCATTTTTTTTTAGAAAATAATAATCTCTCCTCTTTTCTACAGGATTAAAAAGTGATCCACGACTGCAGAAAAGCAGCACACTGGTTGGAAGAAAACCAAAGTCTCTTCAGCGGCAAGGTGGATTTGCCTGACATTTTGATGATGGGGATGGGAATGTGGCTGAAGCAGTCAAGCTATTCAAACAAATGTGTGAAGTAGATGACTTCACCATTGATGAGCATGAGAGGGAGATGGTTTTAGAACCTTTCAAGTTTGTTTTTCAAAAAAAGATTGAAGACATGTGGCAGTTTTTGGAGGAGCTGGCCGATCGGCAGAATCTTCTCCTGTACTGTGAGTGTAGATTGTGAATAAAGGAATTAAAGATGTAAGGATGAATGATTATTTGTGTTTATATAATTCTCTGTTTATAACATGACATGTACATTTATGTGTTTCACACCTGCAGCTGTGCTATAAGTTAAAATAAGTTGTGGCTGAATATGGGGAGAAATATGGCTATTAATAATGGAAAAGATAAGTTAACCCAGTACTAATATTTTTAGTTTTCTTTTTTTATACTTTATACATTTCGGGAGGGAAATGAAGGTCCTGACTATCCCAACATAGAGCAGCCAGTTTGTGAGAAACCGTTGGAGAAACAGTCTTGCTCAGGAACCCAGCAGTTCAATCACTGGGAAACTGTCCCATTGACTAATATTAATTGCTATTTTGTATTAAAGCAAGATATAAAAAAAAAATCTTAGGTATAATGTCTTGTAAAATGCAAAGCAATGCTTTTTTTTATTTTTTTTGTTTCCTAAGGGTACGTAGATTAAACTAGGTTATAGAAGGGACAGTGTTATAATCCAATCAGGCTGATTATGTCAATCTTCAACAAACTGATTTTTCTACGTTCTGCCAGAGAGGATCCCAGAGCTAGGGAAATCACGATGCCTCCACAGTGATCCATTTTGACTGCAAGGCCAAGCCATAGTGTCTATGGGTCTGCAGCCTTATCCAAAGGGCCACTTTTGCTGTCAGACCAGCTAAATAAAACGTGCTGAGAGCCACAAGTGTTACCTAGTCTTTTCACAAATTACATTATATAAGTACATAAGGAAGGTGACATTTTTTTTGAATATCTATATTTTCCAACCTAATAACTAGAAAGATTTAAACAAGTACTGCTTTAGAATATATATATCTATATCTATATATATATATATATATATATATATATATATATACACACATATGTACAGTGGTTAAAGTGGGTTTTTACAGGTGGGGGAGCCCTAAAATTCAGTGTCACTGCGTAGTCGGGGAAAATAGTGGAACATCTTTACAAATTTTTAGAAATTATATCAAAGATCTGTACTGGTTTTATTTGCCGGATTAGCATCTAACATAACTAATATGAAGAGATGCAGTAAACTCAGCCTAAAAATAAGGCTTGGACAAGAACTAAATGCAGTGGAACTGTAGGCTATGACCTTGGCTTTCAGTCCCTAATCATAGAAAAAAAAATATGAAATTGTTAGGATCCTCAGGCTTGCCCTCCAGAGGGCGCCGAGGATCCTCTTCTGCTCTGTGTTTTTCCCTTAGGGTTGAGTTACTGTGGGGATCTGGAGACTACCCTCTGTCTCCAGCAGAGTGCGCCATGGGTCTTCTGGAGCTGGAACCTTCCTGCACACCTGTTGCTAATCCTCTCATCAGAAGACCTCTCCTATATAAGCTGACTTCAGACCTTGATTCCACGCCGCAGTGTTGATCTTAGTTGGTTAGCTTCCTGAGCCTCTGTTACAGAAGATTCTTTGTTATCTCTAGTGTGAGATCAGATTCTAACTCTTCCTTGTCTCTGCCTCACAGGAATCCTGTCTCTCGTGAAAGCTCTGGATGAGCTTAACCTCCTGTCTCTTCGTGAAAGCTCTGCATGAGCTTAACCTCCTGTCACCTCGTGAAGCTCTGCATGAGCTTAACCTCCTGTCTCTTCGTGAAAGCTCTGCATGAGCTTAACCTCCTGTCACCTCGTGAAGCTCTGCATGAGCTTAACCTCCTGTCTCTTCGTGAAGCTCTGGAAGAGCTGTCTCTCTGGCAACCTGTCTCTGGCCTGCAGCTCTGGGAGAGTTGCATCACAGGAAGCCAGTCCCAAGCCTGAAGCTCTAGGAAAGCTAACCTGCTAATCTGCCCTGGTGAGCCAACCCAAGATTCCTACATGGTTGAAACCTGAAGACTTCTGTGTGGAGTTTCCCTAGAGGTTCCCATGTGGATTTTCCCCAGTTGTTCTCTGCAGTGAGCTGGAAGCTCAAAACTAGGACTGCCACGCTAAGCCTGAAGCTAGAGGCTTAGCCTCACATGAACTCAGCTACCAGCCATCTCCCGTTCCCTGCACAGACCCCAGTGAACCAGCTCCCTGCCTGAACTGTTCCAGTAAATTATACATGTGCTTGTGCCCTTTAATAAACTCTTTGGACTTTTACCAGTGTCTCCGTGTGTGTTCTGCATCTTGGGCTTTACTCTCAGAAACCCAATCATAACAGAACACTGCGGCCATACACAAAGCCCAGCAGATCACCTCTGTCGTTGGACTGAGAAACGGGACGCTCAGGTTGCTCAACACACACAAACCCTCCGTGAGTTAAAATCCAAGTTTGACTTGAAGAAAACACACGTTTCAAGATCCCACAAGCTTCGTGGGAATCACAAGATAGCGCCAGTTCAACTTCCGGTTCCGGTTTCGTCACTTCCGGAATTCCGTCCGTCATCTCCGAGTCAAGATAGTAATCCTCCTTTCTGGTCAGAACTCAACCCGTCGTTTTCATCACCCGGTCCTTCTCTGCCTGAAAGATTTTCTGGCAACCCTGGTAAGCTCAAAGGATTTATATTTCAGTGCCGGTTATTTTTTGGTTTTCACGATTCTAGTTTTCCTAATAATAAGGATAGGATAGCCTTTGTTGTTGTCTGGTGAAGCCCTTGAATGGGCGGAGACCAAATTTCCACCTAAGACTAGAGAAAACTGTACATTTGAAAGATTCATCCACGAGTTAGAAAGAACCTTTAGTCAGGTTTCTAAGTTCTCAGTTTCTGGCAACCTTCTTAAAATTAAACAGGGTAATAGGTCCGTTGCCGAGTTTTCCTCCGAGTTTCTGAGTAGAGCAGCCGATTCCGGGTGGAACGAATCTGCGCTCAAATCCGCTTATCTCATAGCTCTAAATGAATCATTCAGAGACGAGCTTTCATTTTACGTCAAGCCAGCTACCCTTGAGGACCTTATTGAGTTAGCCATTGGCTTAGACACAGCATTACAAACCAGTTCCAGTTCCTCTCCGCACCAGTTTAGCCTCTGTTCTCATGTTCTGGACCTCCATTTAGTTCCATCCGTTAAAGGACTCAAGATTACCCCATCTATTTCACATCATACAGTTAGAGTTCACCGTCAGTCAGATCAGACACCTGCACCCGTCACCGTTAAAACTAAACCTGTTCCCTCGCCAGTTAATCGGGCTCCCTACATCCATGAGGATGATCTATGGGATTTTTTCTATAGAGTTAGAGAGGACATCATCCCTTTCGAGCCACCACATTCTGTTCCACGTCAGCCAGATCCAAGTCCAGTAAACAACCCAGATAGTTCTAAACCTAACCCCGTGCCTGATCCTTTAGCCCCTGATTCTATTATCCGTTCTGGTACTCTAACTTTTCAACCGGTTAATTCGTCGCCAGATTCAATCAGTGAATCCGTTAGCCTAGCTCCAAAAACCCCTCGGCGTAAGAAAAGGCGTCGCCTTAAATCAGCTCTGTGCCGTCCAGAGACCCCTGAGCCTGCCCTGTGCCGTCCAGAGACCCCTGAGCTGAAACTAAAGAGGGCTTCAGAATGTGGAATTGGTGAAAAAATGCCTCCAAGAGCCCCTCAGCAAAGGCCACAAACCATCAAGAGTCCTCTACAGACGCCTCAAGCCACCTCAGAGACTGAACTTGAGCCTCCATGGGTGGTCCCTCCAGTTCCAGAAGTGGAGCCACAGTCGGTGGCGTCACCAGCTCCTGAGGTGGAGCCACAGTCGGTGGCCTCCCCAGCTCCTGAGATGGAACCACAGTCAGTGGTCCTTCCAGTTCCAGAGGTGGAACCAGTCGGTGGTGTCCCCTGTTCCTGCTCCAGAGCCGCAGTCGGCGGGCTCCCCTGCTCCAGAGCCGCAGTCGGCGGGCTCCCCTGCTCCAGAGCCGCAGTCGGCGGGCTCCCCTGCTCCAGAGCTGCAGTCGGCGGGCTCCCCTGCTCCAGAGCTGCAGTCGGCGGGCTCCCCTGCTCCAGAGCCGCAGTCGGCGGTTTTCTCAGAGCCTCCTCCAGAGCCGCAGTCGGCGATTGCTGCTGAGCCTGGTCCTGAGCTGCCGGGGAGGGGACGGGGTACCCTGTGGGGGTACCTGCTGAAGTTTGGGCATCATCCTCATGAGAAGCATCTTCGCCTTCGACCTCGCAGCAGAACCCCGGAGCATCGGCTTCGCCTTCGACCTCGCAGCAGACCCCCAGAGCGTCAGCTTCGCCTCCGACCCCGCAGCCGGCCACCTAAGACGCTGCTTCGTTCCCAGCCCCGTGGTCGGCCTCCTGAGCATCTGTCTAGCCTCCGGCCCAGCGGTAGGCCCCCTGAGAATCGGCCTCGCCACCGTCCCAACGGTCGGCCTCCTGAGCAGCTACTACGCCTCCGCTGCCGGCCCCATGGTAGACCACCTGAGACTGTGTCCCGCTGCCGGTCCCTCGGCCGGCCACCTGAGACTCAGTCCCGCTGCCGGTCCCATGACCGGCCACCAGAGACGTTACCCAAAAATTTTTTTGGGTTTTCTTTTGTTTTCGTCCACCGTAAGTGGATCGTTTTTTGTTCTGGACTTTGTTTTTGTTTTTGCCCTCCTGGCCTGTTTCGTCCATCGCCCACTCTGGGTGGGTTGTTTTTTGTTTTCTGGACGTTGTTTTTTGTTCCTGGCCCTCCTTGCCTTAGTGCCCCCTCCGCCCACCCTGGGTGGGTTGTTTTTTGTTTTCTGGACGTTGTTTTTTGTTCCTGGCCCTCCTTGCCTTAGTGCCCCCTCCGCCCACCCTGGGTGGGTTGTTTTTTTGTTTATTTTTGTTGGACTTTTTCTGGGGGCGTCTGGAATCCGCCCTTGAGGGGGGGGGTACTGTTAGGATCCTCAGGCTTGCCCTCCAGAGGGCGCCGAGGATCCTCTTCTGCTTTGTGTTTTTCCCTTAGGGTTGAGTTACTGTGGGGATCTGGAGACTACCCTCTGTCTCCAGCAGAGTGCGCCGTGGGTCTTCTGGAGCTGGAACCTTCCTGCACACCTGTTGCTAATCCTCTCATCAGAAGACCTCTCCTATATAAGCTGACTTCAGACCTTGATTCCACGCCGCAGTGTTGATCTTAGTTGGTTAGCTTCCTGAGCCTCTGTTACTGAAGAATCTTTGTTATCTCTAGTGTGAGATCAGATTCTAAGTCTTCCTTGTCTCTGCCTCACAGGAATCCTGTCTCTCGTGAAAGCTCTGTATGAGCTTAACCTCCTGTCT